CATTCTTCAGCGACTCCTGTTGCATTGTGTATTGCCACTAAATTTAGTGCTTCGAACTGGAGTAATTATGAAAAGGGAGAGCTTCAGAGCGTGCTTTCATGCATTATTACTTACTTCAATACTACTTCAAATCGTTTTTTAATAAAAAGTCATCTACCATAGCTTTTTTTAGATAAAGCTTCTCAAGCAAACAAAATTCGTTACATTTGAGCTCCAGAACTTTTTCAACCCGTTAACCGACACAATAATAACATTCAAAACTATGGCGGTCACCACCACATTACAGCGCTCGCGCTCGCCTTCTGGGACTCAGCCTTTATCTGCCACCGATCCGGAAATTCTGCTAAAGCCGAATAGTCGGCTCAACAAATTCGTTTTTTGCGTACTCTGGCCTACTCCGCGGCAGCACTTGCAGTGTTCGTGACTTATATGACTTTGATTATGGTATCTAGTTAGTCTTGAGAATTTGTACTGAATTATTTTTTCGGTATAATTAGCATAAATGAGTGCGTCCTGGTGTTCTTGTTTTTCACGTTCGAGTGCTCGACGTTTACTAAGTTTACAAATGAGATACCATTGGATCTCCACATTCACGCACAGCATAGTAGTAATAAACCCCAAGTAAAAGCGGACAATTCTGATGTATTATGAAGAAGGCTCGCGTTATCATGCTCTTTAAGGTATTCATTTGTAAATTTAGATCTAGTAGATGCAGCAGGCCTGTAAAAATCTGTTTTAATGTACTAGTACTGAGTGTTAACAGCATTAGAAGCTGCAGCATGTCTTTGCTAACAACGGAGCAATAACAACCCATAATATACTACGTACAAAAGAAATTGGTAGAAATGAGCTAATGAACTGCTTACCGCATCAGTTCACAGTTATTTTAATCATTTTTGTCGTTTCTACAAGTCAACACGTTCATAAACCCACCCCCGATAGCTGCTCGCACGCATGCCAAATTCTTAAAGGCGTCAATGCATCTAGCCTGTTGTGCTGGTTAATTCATCTATCCAAAAAATTATTTGACCAAAGATTACACCGTCAGAATCCATCTATAATGCTTTCTAGCAATCTCCAGGTACAACATTTGATCGTAAAAGATCTCAGGAGGGTATTTGTGCACTACAGTTGGGCTGGCACAACTTGAAACCTTTCGAAGCTCGCTGACATGATCTTAGGTCCAGAAAAATTGATAAAATATCTTAGAACTAATCAAGCACGTTTCCAGTTGGACGTGCGTTATTCATAAGCTATTAGTTGATATTTCAGAGTTTTTGTGGGAGGTAGTTTAACTTAATTGAAGGTTTATTAGAGGTACAACGAGAGGTTCAACAATGGATTGAACTATCTACAAAATAACGCTCTAAGTCTTCATCTGACCATATGGGATAAGGATACGAAACATGATTTGATTTAGTACTTGTGACCGTATCTCCTGTCTTAAGAACGAGCTTCAACCTTGCCTAATTTTTTACCAACTTGGCACCGAATGCACCATCACTGATTGTTCAACAGTCGTGTACCCCGTTGCAGCGTTGGGCTCCAAACATGTGCTATTGGGCGCGAAGACGCAGCATGCATCAGGTCAAGAGCTTGGATGCAATAAGATGCAATCTTAAAACAACTCTACCGTTGTTGTAACGGGGCACCCTGAAGCTTGTACTGATGACAGTTCAAGCTACTTATTCTGACTACAGAATAGGGCGGTGCCTCGGAACTTCACGTACACTCGTACGTGCAGAGGAAGACGGTAAGGAGAAGCGAGTACTTGGTTAAAGTAAAAAGTAGAACTGTATTTATAATAGTTAATGTCTGCAATAAATCACTATTTATCTTCATCTAACTATGTCTAAATACAAACGTGTAAATCAATTATCTGCTCACTACTCATTGCGTGCGTCTGTCGTGGCGCGTCTTCGTTGGTTGATATAATGGCCTATATCAACCAATTAGGAACTGCTCGTAAGTGCTCCAATATTTGTCCTTATGACAATATTCTGAGAACATAACTCTTATAGTTATATTCTATTAACAATTTCTTATAGATCGTTATGTAACGATTCACCCCGTTACAGTTGGTTGGAAAGAGAGTATCTGCGGTATTAAGGCGGTCATGAACGCCCTTGCTCTATAAATTTAGTCTTGTGTAGACCTAGCAATTCGTGCTATCCTTGCAGCCAGATAGAAACCTTGCAGCTGTAGAAATTTGAGAAGGTATGGTACAGTTCGGGATTCGAATGCAGTAGCCCTTTTATGCACATTTGCAGGCAAGACGCTCTTGCTGATACGCTAGGCAACGCCACAACCTTTGTAAAAAATATCTGAGACAGATGATGCCCGACTGGCGGGGTGTTCCGCCTGAATGCCTTGACAACACAGCAACGATCATCATTACAACATTAATATTAGACATCACAAACCCACTACTTGATGCGTTGATCGAAAGGGTCTTCGTTAAAGGAAGCTCTTATCGCAATCCCGAAGGGTGGAGATATTAGTAAATGTGCACAAGGTTTATTGAAGATCTTTTAAATTGTGCTCATTTACGTTTGTGTCTGTGTGTTTGTAGAAACGCGGTAGGTGCTTCGTTGCCCGTACTGAGTGCGATCAAGCATACCCTCTTGTCAGAATTGGAACGTGAGTGATCGCATGATACCAAGTGACCAGGTCAATGGGCCGGTCAATTGACTCGGTCACTTGTCCAAAGTGAACGAAAATGACCCCCGAATAAGTAGTATCACAAATGTAAATGTAAGCGATGTGACTCAAATACAAGTGCTAAGATAAAAAATTCTGCTTTCTGCCCCCATACTTCATATATGAACTAATCAGTATCGAAAACAAATGTTACGTGACGACGTGCGTCAAGGTCCATCTCTTCCTTGTGAATAAGTTTATTAGTCTCCTTCTCGTCTGTCTAACAATTACTGACTTAACTCACTTCTCTCACCCCCTGAATGACTCGTTACAGGTGATGGGTACGGCTAACTTCACGGCACACTCAGCTTTTTCCCGAACTAGCATTTCAATTACTGCGGTATTGTGCACAAGGGCGACAAGACTGATACGATGATTGCGCGCCTCTCCATAGGTTGCGGTTAGATATTTGCAGTTGTAATGAAAAAATCCCTGTTGACGGCTTCCTGCTACCGAGGTCTTGTATATTTGGCGGCCGCTTAAACTGTTTGCGGTGAATATGCACATTATTAGTACATGTTGAAGTCCAGTACGATATAGATTGGCTACTTACAACTGCGGAAGAAGTTAATCGATTGTGTCATCATCAAATCTGGTAGTGACACTTGTGACCAGACCTAGGTTGAAGCACAGTATATAATGAGATTTATAGACCACACGATGTATTTCAAGAAGCACTGTCATATGTTACGTTGAAAGAAATACTGTCGAAGACTACATCATCGGTATGTGACAAAAAACTACAGCCTCTATCTTGGCTGAAGAAAGTCGATGAGTCGAATGTATTAGCTGAAAGTGCATCTGCTGAAAAATGATGTTAATATTCTGATGATGTTAACAGCGGGTATGATAATGATAGCAGGAACTGAACTGATAAAAGAAGGATAAATGTATTTAGCTTCGATATGATCGAATCATTAAATGTTTGCTAATTTCAAATTAACATTTTATCTTGGCCGGTCAATGGTCTACATAATGATCGTCCTGGTCACTAAGCTATAAAAAAGCTATCGTTACTGGTAGATATTAGTATCCGTATTTTAAATTCGTAAACACGGCCGTTATATTAGTAAGAGTATAGCTCAAGCCGCTAACATTTACACTACTCCCACTCATGCGATCCAGAAAAAGCAGACGACTTCGTCAACTTTGTCGTATAAAAAGATTGGCTTTTCTGTAGTTTGAGGTGCTTGTAAGCAAATCGCTCGACTAAAAGCAGCCATTACAGAACTTAACAGCGGTAGCAACACCAACCACAAACAAATTAAAATGGCAACATGAATCACAGTCAAAGGCGCAGCAATCGATTTATTTTAAGTACGAACTGTTGATCTCGCATGATTCTGATGATCTTGGCATCTTTGTCGTATGAAATGCTTGGCTTTACGGTAGCTTGAGGTGCTCGTGTGGTAGCGTCTGCTAATTAAGTTGTGGCGAGCTTACTCTGGCTACATTCTGGTACGCAGTGGCTACACCAACAACAGCAACAGCAACAATAACGACAAAGACGCACGCAGCAGGATTTACAGTGATAGACACAGCGACTCAGAAGATGTTTAGGTGCGCGGTTGATGCTGCTTCACCACTATCTTCCTGTCTACGTTCAGCGCGTCTGATCGGCGCCAGAAAGCTGCACGTTGTTGACTTTCTTTTGTTTGTTAGCTAACTGTATAATACGAATACTAAGCTGTGATTGGCTTACTTCCCTTTTTTGCGGACGTAGTGTCTGCGGTCGTTGTATTATTGTCGGTGGTCGTTGTACTAGTGTGAACTAGCTCAAATAGCACACAATATAAAAAATAGCATTAAATTAAGGCCTGGTCGCTTACAGTCACTTGTGAAAGTGACCGTCACTTAAACATTGCGAACAGTCAATCAACATCCCTGTGTAAATGGTACATGTGCAGATTCAAAGTCACTCTTTGGCTAGGTCACTGTTGTGAACGTGCCTGATTGGCTTAAGTTGATCAAAGGTGAATTGTATCATGTGAGCAAACACGGGACGCTCATAAGCAAAGGCTTTCGCGTTGCCCTACCATACTGCACTAGGTCAATACAGACAGTAACAGCATCGTAGTCATTCATCAGTAACCGCTGCTATTGTAAAGTGTTTTGCGACTTGTCAGTTCTCCGAACTGGATTACTTGTACCAAAGGGCGAGCTCCAGAGCTTGCTCTCCTATCTCCTTCTAAAGTCCACGTGCTCGGGGCTGAGCATATCATTGGTTAAAAAGCACAAACAAGTCGCTTCTCATTGGCTGAAAGCTGCAGCTTCCCGTTCTTGTCACACGCGAACAGCTCATGACGTCCACCGCATGTCCGATCTGCTCACGTCATGTGCGTGTTGAGAACCTCACGCTGCACGTTGAGGCGTGTCTCAACAAGCACGACCAGCTCGAAATGCCAGTTAAATCAACGTCCCAGTCTGTAACAGCAAAAGTCACTTCGATCAATGGAGCGTCCAATCGCAGTTCATTTACCAGGAGCCAAGAGATACCATCGCCATCATCGTCTTCTGCAGCTATTAAGAAGCGTAAAAGATTGGCAAATGTCGATAGTAGTGCAGTGCCATTGGCCGAGAGGATGAGACCGAATGATCTGGATGATGTTTTGGGTCAGGAGGAGCTCCTAGGCGCTGGTAGTCTCTTGGCTACCCTTATCCAGATGGATCAAGTGCCTAATATGATTCTGTGGGGGTATGCATTACGGACGTCAATGGACATTGGAAGTAACAAAGGACTCATGCTTTGTTCGTATATGTGATGATGGATGGATCGTTGAATGGACAGACCGCCAGGATGTGGTAAAACGACGCTGGCACATGTGGTCTCGAAGCGAACGGGGTGCAAGTTTATCAGTTTGTCAGGAGCGACTTCAAAATTAGCGGATGTGAAAGACGCTGTTGATCGTGCAAGAGGGGAACGCACGATGTTTGGCCGACGGACGATTGTCTTTGTTGATGAGATCCATCGCTTCAGCAAGAGTCAGCAGGTCCGTCGTGGATTGCTAGATTTATACGATATCTGCTCAATTGTATTTCTTTCGGCTTGTGGGTACTATTTTTTGTGGCTCTTAGGATTTCTTCTTACCTGTTGTGGAAAACGGCACCATCACGCTGATTGGGGCGACGACAGAGAACCCGTCATTCGAAGTGAACAATGCGTTGTTGAGTCGATGTCGCGTGTATACACTCAAAAAGCACACACAAGAGTCGATCAAAATGATTCTGCGACGAGCCATCCAAGATCGTGTTGCAGGTGGCGCACATTCGCTACCACGAATACAGGAACAAGGAGATGACGATAAAGTGGTTGACATTGAGGTGGAAGATGCAGCTATTGAGCATCTGACAAAGCAGTGTGCAGGTGATGCACGAGTTGCACTGAACAGCTTGGAAATGGCGATGCAAACTGCACCGATGGATGCTGAAAAGCATGTTCTTCGAGTATCAGCTGCTCATGTTCAGCATTGCTTTGCGCACCGTCCGACGCTTTTCTACGATCGAAACGCGGACATACACTACGACTACGTCAGTGCGCTCCACAAGTCAGTACGTGGCAGTGACGAAAACGCCACACTCTACTGGTTGGCGCGTATGCTCGAGGGCGGCGAGAATCCGCTGTATGTTGCGCGACGGCTCATTCGCATCGCAAGTGAAGATGTCGGTCTAGCAGCTCCTGAGTTGCTCCCCATGGCGGTATCAGCGTACCATGCTGCCCACTTTATCGGGATGCCTGACTGTGATGTCATCCTTGCTCATGTTGCGACGACGCTGGCTCGCGCACCAAAGTCCGTTGCTGTATATTCTGCGTACAAACGAGCAAAACAATCGATCCGAGAGTGGGACAAAGGTGCACTGCCTGATGTCCCGCTGCATCTGCGTAACGCCCCAACGAAGCTTATGAGAGACTTGGGCTATGGCGAGGAGTATAAATACAATCCGCACTTTACTGCTGAAGAGATGAGAGACCAAACGTACATGCCGGACGAGATGATTGGCACGAACTTTTTTGCACTGAGTGAAGTGAACAAAGATCGATCTTGAGTGTCACGAGCAGACCTGCATCCGACTTTGATCGCGCCAGTCGTTGGAAGTACGGAACTACGGAAAGTTTTACGATACTCGGTGTAAGGTCCTGTTACAGATGCCGCAGCGAGTTATGTAAGATCACTGTGAATTTGCTAGCGTCTATCATGCTTCTTAGGGTGCAAATCAAATGCTGTCGAGCTTTTAAGTACAAGGGTACATTTGTCTTCCTCAGTACGGCGCCTTCATTAATTTTTTACCAAGTTCTTTTTGGAGATCTCTTCCAGACACAGGTTCCCCTACGACTACCTTGTTACGACTTCATCAAAGTATGGAATTATTATTGGAGGTTGGTCAAGTAATTCTAAATATTCTTTTTTAGGTGCTTAAAAATCAACAGCTCAGATGATTTCTAATGAAATAACAATTGGTTTTTCAATTCTTTCCGTTATAGCGGAGTGCTTAACGCGTTAGCTGTTATATCGATATTAACTTTACCTGTATTAGCTGGTGCAATTACTGTGTTATTAACTGATCGAAATTTAAATACTTCTTTTATGATCCATCAGGTGGGGGTGATCCTGTTTTATATGTATATTGTCACTCGCAAACACAATAACGTACACATTAGCTCGCATTCGATTGTCGCTGGATCAACCTTGGGTCTGTAACGACAATGGTTCAAACTGCTTCGAAAGACTAGCTCTGTAAACATGCAAACGCCGTAAGTGCCTTATTCGAAATCAAGCGTGGTCACAAATGTTTTCAGCTACCTAGTCTCTTGACATTCATTGCAAAGAAGCTGCGAATCACCAACTCGCAACGGGGTACATACACCACACCGCAGAGGTATACCTTGCTGCAAGTCGGTGCTTCATAGCAATTGCATGGGTACCTCACTGATCTAACCCCTGTACTGAAGGCCAGGTCCGTACTCTTATTCTTCCATGTTTGAGCCAAAGATCAATCGGTCGACATTGTACTTCATCTCGTTCAAGTCGATAGGCATATCGAGACGATTTATGAACACGGCATCAACGCTTTCGCCACGCTACCGGTGTTTCAAGCGTAAATGAATCATCCGACGGTGTCAAGTGGATATCTAGCTTGTAATACTGTAGCTTCCGGGCAAGAGTAGCAGTCTATTCAACCGACGACACAACCTGATAGTATACACGTTAGGAGCTTTGAAATCCTGCAACTCGTTCTAGAAGTGTTCAGAATCAGCAGTACGAAACTACTTCTTGGTCGCGTATTATTCCGTTCGCTTCGCTGCACCGGTGACGAAAGCAAACATCGATCGTTTTAGTCAAAAGACGAAGATTCTCATCGCAACGCGTGTCAAGAGCGACATCAACCTTTCACCGTGTTCTCTCGTGAAAGGCTCCATCCTAAAATTCGACCTTTGGTGCTTCCAAAAATGAGCTTCTGTCCGCAAAGTGTCTACCGAGTTGAGTACCACTAGACAACATGTAAACGCACATGTCGTGATCTTCTTACAAGAAGAACAATCACTTCGTCTTTGTCCCTTTCATATCACTTGCTACTCTAAGCGTCACAATGTCGTCAACCGAATAAACCACAAATAAAACAGCATCTGAGCAAAAGACATACAAACGGCAGGACAAACTCGAAATCAAGAGCTTTACAGGCACTTTGACACCTCTCAAACTTTCTACCCCTTCTCGAGGAGCTCCACGTCCAAAGTCAGGCCGATCGCATTCCCTATCAAGTCTCGCTCGACATTGAACACCCTCCCTCCATCATGACCACTCGTGACCTCTTGCTCTTGCTACTTCTCCAACCATCACCCGCGTCTGCAATGCAGCACTTTATTCTTTCCAGCTTAGGTGTCGCCCCACCCACCTCTTTGAACCGGACACTAGTGCCACTAACACTTTCGTCTGCTACTCTGACGGATTCTCCGAAACCATCGCTGGACGTTTCCCCCGTTACGTTGGACTCTTATATCGTTGCTAATGAGTGGATACTAAACAACTGGAGCTTGCCATCGGCTGAAGAGTCGGTTATGGTGGACGTGCAGCTCACTGAATGGATGGACGTGAACGTCTCGAAGCTGCTGATCCAAGCAGCAGACAAAGAGGTGCTGGAAAAGGAGCTGGAGCTGTCACTGGTCTTTGGAAACGGGGCGCTTCGAGGGCTTAACGGACTGGTGCAGATCCATGTGGACGGTATGAAGACAGCGTTCGAAAGCGGGTGGCTGCCGGGGGATACACACTTGAATCAGTTGTAAGGAGACATTGTGCTGCACAGACTCAGACTGGTTGGGTGGACGTGGGTCAACGTTGTTGTGGATTTTGTTGAATTCTTGGTGTGCTAAACGTGCAGGATATTTGATGCAACTGCAGTGGAGGAGTTGGCGTTGCAAACGTCAGTGACGATCGAGCAGGTGGTCATCCGTTCTAGCAAGTTGTCGTTCCCTAGAATGGTGTTGGGGTTGAACACGGCAGTCACGACACTGTATGGTTGTAGCACTCTTGTTGGTCTTATTGATGACAGGTATAGTCACTTATTCGCTTTTTTGCTGTTTTGGATTATGTTGTAGCACATTGATGCATAACACGATTGCAGGGCCTATCGAGTTAACGGAAAACGAGTACAACAAGCTTTCGAACATCGCGGTCTTCAGAGCGACGGGAAATCGTGTTGATATGTCACGGGGTGAGCCGATGTCCTGTGTAAGGGAAGAAATGATCAGTGGGTTGGCAATTTGCATCGTCAAGGAAGTGCAGAGCTCTGCCACGTATGCTGATGTCTTGGGTGGAAATGATAACAATGGTGTCGCTCGAGCTCGCCGAATTCTCGGATCACTCTCAGCTACCATTGCCACCTCTCGTGACAGTTCGCCGGCGCCTGTAATTGTGCTGATTAGCACGTGCACGGTGGTTTTGGTCGTGGTTCTAGTTGTAGTAATGTCTTTCTTTCGCCGGGTCAAGAGTAAAGCAAGAAAACTCGTCGACAAACGACATAGTTTAACTGGTCGTGACGATGGATCGTTTCTTGGACCTGGAGGTGATACGCCTTCAGGAGTTATGGATGCGGGTGACGCACAAATTATAGCAGATATGGACCTCGGCAAAGGCCAGGTGAACCTACACAAGAAACTAGGCACTCAAGGTTTGTGGCTTGGCGAGTGTAAGGACACGCAGGTTGTTGCACTGAAGTTTGTACCTCGGGAGCTAGACATGTCAATCAAGGAAGTGAATGCAGTCCGGATGTCATACGTCCCACTCCGACATGACAACATTGTGCACTTCTTGGGATCGAGCTGGACAGACTGCGAAGAGGTTCTTATCGTTGTGGAGCACATGGCTAAAGGCAGCTTGAGATCCGTATTGGCGGATACAAAGATCGACCTCGCGTGGCCTCAGCGGCTGCAAATGAGCAAAGATATTTGCAGTGGTTTGAACGCCGTGCGCTCGATTGAGGGAATCAACTTGTCCCGCAACTTGACGGCTAGAAGTGTGCTTGTGGATGCGCTGCTTGTCTGCAAAGTGGACATCTTCGACTACGCTTTAAGTCTTCGTACTGACTGGGGGCCTGCGCGGTCATTTGGGCACGGAGACATAGCATCACGGGCACCGGAATTGCTGAAGGGAGACAAGATCACAGCGGCTGCTGAAGTATACGCATTGGGGGTCATTTTCTGTGAGATTTCTTCGCGAAGCAAGCTGTTTGAACACGAACTCGAGGAACGCGGGCCCACTTTAGCTGACATTTTTATAGCAACCGAGGTAGTGGCACAGCGATTGAAGCCATCACCTGCAGAAGACGCTCCTGCTGCATTCCGCGCGTTGATTGTTCAATGTCTCTGCTATGAGCCGTCAGAACGGCCAAAGCTGCGCGAAGTTTTGGACATGTTTTCTACGTGAATGCATGACAAACGTCGACTCCTGAGCTGCGCTTTAGAGTCCATGTGACCACGAAATTTGATGCACACGCTCGGCTAGTTCTTGGTAAGGCAGCGCGCGCTGTGCCGTGGTCATTGCTGCTCGGCCACTGGAGCTCGGAAGCACCCAAATTTCGCTGTCAGCCCGAAGTTCTTGTGGCCATCCGGGAGGGAACCTCGTTTGTCTGCCGTAGCTCTCAATCTTGGCTAGCGGTGGCGAGAACAACCAGCTGAATTGTCGCTTGCCAGAGAACGCAACAAGCACAGGAGCGTGAGCAAGCTGACACTTGGTCAATTCGCCATCATCTAGGTGCTCGACGTCGGCATCCGTTGCAGCGTTGTGATCGCAGAGGCAAACTCGAGCAGCGTGACGGCGCAAACGCAAGAAGAAACTGTTCCGCCAGGCTTCCACTAACAGAACAGGTGGGTCAGACTGCGTTAAACAATCATTCTCAAGATGAAGAAAACAAGCACTGCAGTGTGGATGACCGTACTTGTTGCCTTGCCGTACTTTGAAGCGTCGTTTCCTGCCTGGTGGTCAACGCAGAGGCGTTAAAATCTGTATCGATTATTGTGCATCCGCAGCGAACTCACGACTTCTGCTGTACCTTTAGACCGATGGAAGTGAAGCCAACACCATGGACAAGAGGCATGGCGTTCTGCTCGGCAATCTTTGCTGTTGACGGCACAATGCCGCGTCCCAATTGTGGCAACAGCGTCCCCGTCAGCATCCTCCACATTCGATTCGTCGGATTACTGCAACCACGATAACATCCTGTTAAGTTGAAGTTCCTGCACGTATTATCGAAAGCCGTTCATTTTGCTCCAGTCATTATGCTACCTGTAGGAATACCCAGTCTTCCACGCATGATCGGATGGATTATGACCGACAATCAGCAAACGAAGACGGTGTTCGGGATAGTGCTCGCACGGCTGCATGTGCTCAAAACAGTCGTCGCAGATGGCGTGCCAGCGCTCTTGCCATTTCCCACTACTACTACCACAGCTGCTGCCACTTTCTTGAGAAAAATGTTCACGCGCCGATTCAGTAGCGTTGATGTGTGTCTTGCCTCGCTTCGCAGAACCCGTGGCACAAATTGTTTCTACGTCTTCATCAATGTCCTCGACGTTTGGAAGATCCTTCAGTGTGCTCTCGTCGCGTTTGCGCTTGGCATCAAACCGAAATCGATCGAACATTCCTGCCATTGTGGGCAAACGGAAGAGTTACATTCTCTTTTATTGACACAAATCGCTTCGACTCCATCACACCCTGTTGTGCAGTTCTCGTAGCGTGGACGTGCGTGGCCTTTCGCAACACGCGAGTGGGAAAATAAATCCGTCAACGATCGGTGTAACTGGCTGCAATCACCTGCAACTCGAAGATCACCCAACCTCTTACGTGCTTAAAAGTTGAAACCGCTTGCGAAAGTGAACAACGGCTGCATCCAGAACTTCAGCTGGGCGGTTATCGTCAATCTGGCCGGTGAATTGCATGTAGCTCTTGGGACCACCGTATCGATTACAAAGCTGTCGAGCATGCTTTGGCATGAAGAAATCTTTCTTCGAAGCACTAATGAAAGCACACGGGAGCGTGAAACGTGGTGCTGCATCCAGTAAGCGCACGTCACGGAAATCAAACCCTCCTGCCTTGCCAATGGAGCTCGCCAGAACCTTTTGCACCGCTGTGACCATTGCCGATGGAAAGAACAAATTACGTCGCTCGGCGCTACGGGAGATCATCTGCAGTGTGTCCCAAATAACTTGCTCCATGTCTCCATACGCGCTATCTGCTGTCAGCGCGAATATGAACCCGTCGTTTTTCGATTTGCTGGACGAACGCTTGAATCCTTGCAACCGAACTTTGCCGCCATTTGTCGTGCAGCTCTGCTGTATGAGGCGATAGCACGTCGTAGGGCTCAGTCCTTGAGCAGGAACGTTATCGATTGCAAGCAATACAAAGTCACCGCTTGCAGCACTGTACTTGCTAAGCCGGAAATGTAGCCCCGTCAACGGAGGAATGCACAAAATGTGGTGGTTCTCGTTGTCCTCCACAACATTAAGCTTCCTGGCATCTCTTTTTGAGACCGTCCTTGTCGTATAGCAATACGGCATGCGCTCTTTCACATGCAAGAACGCTGCAGCCGATCCAATATCTCGACCCCAGATACCCACTGCCGATGCCCGTCCAGTAGCGTAGAGATAATCGACAACGACCCGCACGTCATCGCGTTCAAAATAGCCAAAGGACACGTGATCGCCACCCGAAAGCCCGGATCCTGACAAATCCATTGCAAACAGCGAGAAACCAGCAGCCAGAACTTGACGGTGCAAGTACACGCACTCTTTTCTTGAGCTCGACATGCCGTGCAGGTAAATGATGCACGGGTCCACAACATCCATCAATGGACCTGCGTGTTGACTGCTGCAACTAGAGCTGCTCGTTCTGTCCGTACCGACGCTGTCCCTCCCGGACTCACCGATCGAGCACTCATTTGACAGCACCTCCTCTTCACTTGGCAATGACATGGACGACAATGATGAGCCTTTCGCCTCTGCAATTGGGTCGGCACTTGTCACTTCTGTACGACGCCAGAAACTGCAAGCCAAGTGCTGTCCACGTCCGTTAACAAGGTGGAAATCTTCCCGACTGAACGACTGGAGCTCCTTCTTGACACCTTTTAGCTGGAACTCTCGATCGCCCAATTCCCCAACAGAATACTCGGCTCGAACGGGACTTGCAATGGACTGCACCATCTCTTCGTAAGTATCCGAGAAGAGACTCCACCAGCTTCCGAGGCTATTGGCTTGCAGCTCACGTTTAGTTATCTAAAACAACAACAACAACAGCGAACAGTAGGATCGATGGATATAGGTGCTGTTAGGATAATGACTAGACAGAGAGAAACGTAGGGACTGATGGAGAAATACAGGTAATGCTAAAGATATGAAGAGACTTCGGTCAATGACCTACCTCTGCTTCGAGTTCACCGTCTTGGAAAATCTCCATCACTTTGACTTGATGAATCGCTCACTACGACAAAAGTATCGAAGTGTCAGAAAACTGGCCGTGCGTTCAGTGCGCTCACTGCTTTGAGTCACAATGTCGTGCGTGCGTCTGCCAAAGAAGAGACTGAATTAATGTGCGGTTTCTACTTTAGTTGGCTTACCCACGAGACGTGTTTTCAGGCTGGACAAAAAACGGACGGAGACTTTGATCCTAGCGACAGAATCTATCGACGCGTAGTAAGAATATCGTTGGAGGAATTTGTGAACTCGGTGCATTTGGCTTGGAAGGAGGTGGCCGTTGGAACGGCAGACGGTTTTGCAACGGAAACGTGACCATGACGCGGGTGGACATTGGATTAATGGTTTTTTTTATTCGAGGACTAGGAGAATCAGGTCGAGAAGCGGAAGTTTGTGCTGGATACGCGAACCGAATGACTTGCGCATGCCGCAACTTTTCTGATTCGTTTACATGTCGATCATCGAAGTGTCTGTCGGCTTCAGGCAGAGTGTATCAACTTTGCAGTTTTAATGACCTCAAAGGCTGTTTTGATCGTGTTTTTGTCATGATGATAGCGTGAAGTCGTAGAAGCGTTTCATTAGACTAGTGCGTTGCATCGCGGTCTTGTAGTGCCAAGCCGTTTCATAGACACTTCACGAAGGTTAGTTCTCAAGCCAAACGCATGACTGCCCCGGCCGACACCATAATTTGCGGACGAGGCTAATCCGTACACAATATTTTTCATAGAGGGCTTCTTTACAGGTGACATACTGGGTACTAAATAAAGGTAAAAGAAGCTCTACAAACTCTGCACCTCTGAGCTTTTATATGTAATATATTACGGATAAATTGACCTTTAAGCTAATTTGTTGCTGGTAAAACGTTTGACGCGTTTGCAGCACGGAATATCTAAAATTCAAAGTATAGTTTTAGCGGCTTGCTGTGGCTAAAAGCCATATTCCACGCGGTGTCATCCAGCTTGCGCCCCAGACCTGATCTCTTGCCCTATCCTTACCTTCAGCGCAACAGGAGATCGTGACCTGTTAAGCATAAGACTTCTGCTGCTGTCGGATCGAATTACAATGTTCGCACGCCCATATTGTATCCTGATAGTGTAACGGGGTGAATCGTTACATAACAATTTATAAGAAATTGTTAATAGAATATAACTATAAGAGTTATATTCTCAGAATATTGTCATAAGGACAAATATTCTGTAGCACTTACGAGTAGTTCCTAATTGGTTGATATAGGCCATTATATCAACCAACGAAGACGCGCCACGACAGACGCACGCAATGAGTGGTGAGCAGATAACTGATTTACACATTTGTATTTAGACATAGTTAGATGAAGATAAATAGTGATGTATTGCAGACATTAACTATTATAAATACAGTTCTACTTTTTACTTTAACCAAGTACTCGCTTCTTCGTACCGTCTTCCTCTGCACGTACGAGTGTACGTGAAGTTACGAGGCACCGCCTCATTCTGTCATCAGAATAAGTAGCTTGTACTGTCGCCAGTACAAGCTTCAGGGTGCCCCGTTACACCTGGTAGCACTTCGTAGTCCGTCCAAGGACCGCGTTCACATCCAACATGAATATGTTGGATGATGAAGATGACCAAAGCTTTCACGCTACGCGTGACGGCTACTCCCATTTGAGCGATGTCGAATGGGATGCGGTTGGACGAATGGGTTCAACCATGGGCATCCATGCTGTTAGCGTCATGCTAGAGGCTCTCAATAGAGGTGCCCAACATGCTACTATCGCCAAGTTCATTCAAAATGAACTTGACGCTGAACGCGAGAAAGTAGCCTTGCTTCACCAACAAGGTTCTCAACAAGCAGAGTTGTTAAGAGAACAGGGTGCTCAACAGTTTGAACTGTTGAGACAGCAGCAGGCTGCTGCTGGCGGGTCGATGCACTCGCGTCGACCCGAGATTTTGAAGATTGACATCTCAAAGTATAGGGGGGTCGAAGAAGACTCCCTCTTGAGATGGTTCGTCGAATTGGATGACGCCATAAGGGCGCGTCGCATCGACGACGGGGATATGCAAGTTGCATTTGCCCAGTCAAATCTGGCAGGACGTGCCAAGACTTGGGCACTGGGGCTCAAGTTGCACGACCCATATGCGTTTGGGTGGTTGGAAGTCTTCAAGTCGCGGCTTAGACAAACGTTTGAACCGCCTAGAGCTGAGTTCAGGGCTCGAACCGAACTCTTGAAGCTCAAGCAGGGTAAGCGTGATGTGCACGCTTACGCTCAACATATACGACATCTCACGAGTTGTATAAGTTCCAATCCGGTGGATGAACACACGTTGGTTTCGGTGTTCATGCAGGATCTTGCGGATGGTCCCGTCAAGACTCACCTGTTCCGGCTTGAACTAGATTCACTAGAACAAGCCATTTCCATTGCGGAGCAGGAAGACTTCAGTCTGAGACAGGCTCGCGCCAGCTCGACATCATATCGTCAACCGAGACGATATGACAGCGGAGGTCCAGAGCCGATGGAACTCTGTTATGTAGAGAGCGAGAAGGCTCGCTCTACAGGCTACAAGAAGTTGCAGAGATGCAACAGATGTCAAAAGACAGGACACTACGCTTACGAGTGTAGTGCCCCTCGTCCAGTGTCTCGCGACACTGGGCGTAGTGACCGTCCACCCATGAGAAAGGGGCAGGGACGAGGGTCCGCAGTTGGTGCAAAGACGCAACAACGGGATGGACCGTCAAAAAACGGACAGGATCAGTAGGTGCGGAGCACCCTACTGGTCCAGCAACGTCAAGAGAATTTGTAGGCCTCTTGATGAAGGTTGCTCCCAACACACAAACGTTGTGCGTTGCTGCTCTAGGTAATGAGGTCTCACTCGTTACCTTGAAACTCGAAGTGACGAATAAGTTGTCCCTTCGAGCTCTAGTCGATTGTGGGGCGTCCAACAAATTTGAGCGACGCCAATCGCTAGAAGATGGTCACTTTAAATTCAGTGAATGTGACACACCTCCTACGAGGATGACGGTACGTCTTGCGACAGGCGCATCCGTAACCGTCATGAAGCGTATAGTGAAGATCCACTATACGCTAGAAGATACCCAATATGACGATGACTTTATCGTATTGGATTTGGATGACAAATTTGATGTCATCATTGGAATAACGTGGCTCAGAAGGTACGAACCACGGGTAAACTGGCAACATCGAACAGTAACGATGCCTGCCGCTTGTTCATCAGATGGCCATCTGATGAACGTTTTGGAGCGTCCACAAGCGTGTGGATGTACTACGAGTGAGTGCGATGGCCTCACTTGTGGTACGGTCGTTAGTACGACTGCACAAAACCTTAGTGTACCAAACGGTTACACTTCGGAGCAAAGTTCCGGCGGCTGTGAGGAGACACAGGCTGCGCCGAAGGTCCACCACTCGAATAATTCGGGTGTACTGGGACAAAGATGTATCCCTAGCGGGGAACATCTAGAAGAGAAACAATCGATCGCTCAGGTTAAGCGAAACGATAATCCTAGATCGACTGGAGAGTCTTTCGTAGAGGATCTCGCTGTGGTTGCGCAACCCCAGCTAGAGGAAGTAAAGGGAATAAGTCCCAAGATTACAAATACGGCGGAAATAAGTTCCCCGAAACCCGCGGGAATAAGTCCCCGGGAAGACGAAGGAATAAGTCCTTCGAAGCCTGAGGGAATAAGTCCCCAGGAAATGACAGAGACATTGAATGTCATAGTCAATAACGGATCAAGTGTAGGCGCTTATACACTTGATCTGATTGCGCCTCCGAAGTTAACTTCGGAGATCACTCAGTTGCCAACGCTCGAACATAAAAGGTTCTTGCGTGATCTGCGTAGTGGCAAAGTCAAGCAGATCTGCATACTCGTCGCTGACGACGAGTGTGTAACCGACATAATGTCAGCAACAGTGTTCACTGAGAACGAGAGAGAGTTCTCAGTAGTTCATCTATGGACGAGAGTGTCCTAGATGAAAAGACACGAATTGAGCGATATGACTCCCAATCATGGGAATCGCTCAAGAAAAATCCTCTCTATGAAGATTTGGTTGAATTCAAGGATGTATTCCCTGAAACTGTTCCGTGCGAATTACCGAAGGATAAAGGTATTCGACACGAGGTCGAGCTTAAACCAGGCTCGAAGTACTGTGTCATGAAGCAGTGGCCACTGCCTCGTGAACAAGTACTTGCGATCGACAAGTTCTTTGCCGATCGTATAGCTGCGGGCCATGTGAGGGAATCAACTTCCCCACATAGCTCTCCGACCTTCTGCGTGCGAAAAGCAACAGTAGGGTGGCGGATAGTGCACGCTTTCAACAAATTGAATGCTGCAACGGTACCGGCTCAGACGCCGATACCGAGGAAGGACGTAATCATTGATGTTATGTCAAAGAGTACCATCTTTTCGTCCATGGATTTGATGGATGGCTTCTATCAAATCCTTATGCGAGAACGGGATATACCCTATACCGCAGTTAGCACGCCTAGCGGCATGCTCTGGGAATGGCTAGTAATCCCACAAGGGCTCAGTAATGCCCCTGCCACGTTCAACAGATGTGTATCACATCTGTTGAGACCAGTACGAGAATTCGCGCCGAGTTATTTCGATGACGTATTCATCCATAGTCGAGATATGGATGGAAAGTCGGACGTTGAGGTTCACAGGTACCACGTCCGACAAGTTCTTACAATCATGCGAAAGCATCAATTGTATGCAAACCTCAAGAAGTGTATATTCGCCGCAAGCGAAATACCACTTCTTGGGTGCATCGTTGGTAAGAACGGTGTACGTCCTGATCCCGAAAAGATCAAGGCGATCACCGACTGGCCTGTGCCGGTTGATGTCAAAGGTCTTCGAAAATTCCTTGGGCTAGCGGCGTACTTGCATAAGTATTCATGCAATTACGCCGAGATGACTGTGCACCTCTCTCATTTGTTGAAAAAGAACGAGAGGTGGTTATGGAACGCTGAATGTCAGCGCTCCTTTGAT